CTGTACTTTGGCCGACTTGGCAATCGCGAAAGCTAATAAGGACGTTGGATTGCCTATTGTAGGAATCAAATTAGGCGTCGGTGGCTTCGATGACTGACAATGGAAGTTGGACTAGGTCATGGAAAATAAATGCCAGCAAAATAGTTTTTCTCACTCAGTCACTGACGAAGTCTCTTTGGGTATTTGCAAAATGTGTAACGCGCAAACAACGATAGGTCAAACAGGATGTCGCAGGGCACAGGTTGCCTATAAGGCCTCTAAAGAAGTGGACATTAGCCACTTCAGGGGATTCTGTATGGCATAACATGTCAAGCAAATCTCCGGAATGTGTTTTCGCTTCGAACGTATTCACTAACTATGGTTGCAACAGTGATTATCGTAATGCCTAAACTCAATAGGTTCAGTCATGCCAGGATGCCCGCCTTTGAACGACCTTCTTTCGCACCCACTACAAGCATTATATTCTGTAGAAAATGATCACTTACGTAGCATACATTCTTGTCAGTGATATTCCCTGCTCTTATAAATTCAAATACATTTTATAGAAAAGGAAGAACAAAACTATTATTTCTTGTATAAGTTTGGTAGTCACCGTTGCCTTCTTCAAATGTTATACTTGAAGAAATGGTATCTTTTGGTTTTGAAAAAAAAAACAGTTCTACATTGCTGACTTATTTTAAAATCCACAAGCAATTCACTTTAATGTGAGGCCTCCAAACTACACGCTGTAAATATTTGACACTGTGAACAGAAATTACACGCTCTCAAGGATGCGTGGACGCAATGACACGTCATTGGCGTCGCTTGGCTCGCGCGTCATGATTCCCTACGCATACCACCTCCCTGAGAGAGTGTGTGTAAGCCAAATGCGCAAATCTGAAACTTTTGACAAATTCACACCGTTTACCAACACGTTAACGCATTGCCACACCACCCAGTCTCTTGAACTGACCTCCGGACTGACGTTAACTGCTTTAACTTGACTGTACTCGTTATAGGGGCGCGAGCGGCCATGCACTCAGAGCCTACGGCCTGGAGTCATGCGCACAGGCATACAGCCAACGCTAACGACCGTTCACACAGCGTGAGTAATTATCGATCAGCGTGCACACGCGACGACCGTTCACACAGCGTGGCGAACTATCGATTAGAGGGCATACGTAACGACCGCTCACATAGCGCGGCAAACAATCGATCAGCGGCAGGCCAGAACAGCGGTCGCATGCTATTGGGCCAGTATTCTAGAAGGACCAGAGCCTAATAAATAG